TTTTCACCCAGCGATTCCTCTTATAGGAAATTATCCTACAGGTATTTGTTCATGTATGACCTTACATCTGTACAGGGTTAGTCACTATTGTGTTGCTTATAATACCTGAAGAATGTAAAGAAACCATATCTCCCTCAAAAGGAGATTACTCAACAATTTGGGATATTGCCCTGCAGAGGACTTATGTGAACCATGAGGAAAGAACAATGAAGCCTTTTATATATTGTTTTGAAAAGAACTCCAGGGTATATTATTAATCTAAAAAAATCAAGGTGTAGAACAGAGTTTATAACTGACTACCATTTGTATGAGTTTTTTAAAAAAGCACAAGAAGAAAACGTGCAGCTTTTTTGTGCATAGCACATCTCTGAAAGGAGACATGAGAAACTGGAAACATTGTTTCCCTCTGGAGAGAAACTCGACTTGGGACTGGGTTGAAAGGATATTTTTTTAAAAGGAGATTTATTTTTACTGAATTTTGAATTATGGAAATATCTTACCTAGTTTATTACTTAGAATTTGCATAAGTATTTAATGATTAAATGAATAAATAAAATAGAAAATTAATTGATTTAAAAAATGGTTTCCAGCTGGGCATGGTGTACACCTATAATTCCAGGAAGCAGGAGGATCACCATGAGTTCAAGCCCAGCCTGGGTTACATAGTGAGTTCAAGACCAGCCTAAAGTACATAGTGAGATCCTGTCGAAAGGAAAGGAAAGGAGAGAAGGAAGGAAGGAAGGAAGGAAGGAAGGAAGGAAGGAAGGAAGGAAGGAAGGAAGGGAAGGACACCCCTCTGCTATTTAGAGGAAAAGGATTTCAAGAGTCCAGGCCCTTTCCCTACTCTCTGGCTCCTAACCAAGCCCTCCAAGGGGTTCCAACAACAGAAAAGCCTTTGAGGCCTTTTAAAAGGGAGCCTGAGATTCAAGATAGTAGACCTTTGTCTGATGAAGAGCAGGTGAAGATTTTTTCCCACATTGTGGGTTGTCTCTTCACACTGCTGGTGGTTTCTCTTGCTGTGCAGAAGCCTTTTAATAAGAAGAGATCCCACTTGTTGATTGTTTGTGCTAGTTCCCGGGCAACTGAGGTTTTGTTCATAAAATCTTTTCCTACACTGATGTCTTCAAGGGTTCTACCTAATCTCTGTTCCAACTGGTTCAGAGGTTCTATTTTAATATTTTAATCTTTAATCCATTTTGATTTTAGTTTAGTGGTCTAGTTTTAATCTTTGGCAAGTTGAAGCCCAATTTTTCCAGCACCATGTATTAAAGAGGCTATCTTTCCTCCAGTGAGGGTGTTTGGCTCCTTTATCAAAGATGAGATGGCTGAGTGTGTCTGGCGTTGTTTCTGCATCTTCTAATCTGTTCCACTGGTCCTCAGGTCTATTTCTTTGCCAGTACCATGCTGTTTTTATCACAGTAGCTTTGTAGTATAGTTGCAGGTTGGGGATTGTGATACCCCCTGCTATGTCTCTGTTACCTAGAATTGCTTTTGCTATTCTGGGTCTCTTCTTGTTCCAAATGAATTTTTGGATTGTTTTCTCAAGGTCCATGAAGTATGCTGCTGGGATCTCAATTGGACTTGCATTAAATCTATATAGCAGTTTTGGAAGTATGGCCATTTTCACTATATTAATCCTTCCTACCCAGGAGCAGGGGATGTCTTTCCATTTTCTGATATCATCTTCAATCTCTCTTTTCAGAGTGCCACAGTTTTCAGAGAAGAGATCTTTGATTTTTTCATTAGGTTGATTCCTAAGTATTTTAGTTTTTTGGATGCTATTGTGAAAGGAATTATTTGCCCTATTTCTCTCTCAGTGAGTCTGTCATTTGTGTAGAGGAAAGCTATTGATTTTTGTGTGTTGACTTTGTAACCAGCTACTTGACTGAATTTGGTTATTAAGTCTAGAAGACTTTTGGTGGAGTTCTTGGGGTCTTCTATATAGGTAATGTGAAATAGGAAGAAAAAGGGCAAAGGGGAAGGAAGTGGGAGGGCTAGGGGAAAGGATAGAAGGGAATCGGATTAATATGAGAAAATGGAAAAATAGGAGCAAAATCTTTGTAAATAGGGAGGAATGGAGGGGTTGAAGGGAGGGCTGGGCAAGGGTGACAAATAAGAACCAAGAGAGACTATGTAAAGGTGCAAATTTCCAATGATGAATGTCATTATATTGTATACCTAAAATGTACCAATGATTAGAATGAATAATCGATAATGCAAAATAGGAAGAAAAGGTCCAAAGGGGTAGGGGTGGTGGGAGGGGCAGGGGAAAGGAAAGAAGCGAAAGGAAAAAATGATGAGAAATGGAAAAAATGGAAATAAAGTCTTTGTAAATAGGGAAGGGTGGAGGGGTTGAAGGGAGGGCTAGGAATGGGGAAAAAAATAAGAACCAAGATGCATTATGTAAAGGTACAATTCCCAATGAGAAATGTAATTGTGTTGTATACCTACAATGTACCAATAAAAGAATTTAATTAAAAAAAAGAAAAGGGAGCCTGAGGCAAGGGATTTAGCTCAGGGGTGCTTTGCCTGCCTGGAAAGCTCAAGGTGCTGAGTTTGATCTCCTGTATGGGGCGGGGGGATGGATAAAGACATTTGTTTTAGTCAATTGGCATCCTTTCCAGGAAAGGACCTGTTTAGCTCTGAAACCAGCCTTGTCTCAGGACCTCACAGAAACAAGGTTGGGGGATTTAATGAGGGGCCTTGCTGAAAAGTCTCTAAAGACTTGCTACAGTACAGTACAACTTGGGGCTATGGGACCATTCTCCCTCTACTCGCTTGAACTTGGGCAATGGCTCAGGGCCAACCCCCTGACTGGCACTGTGTCAATCATGCTCTGAAAGACCCAATGGGAGGCGCCCTAAGCCAGGCGTGCGTTTCAATCCTTAAGCACGTTCAGTCCCCCAAATTCCTCCCTATAGACATGAACCTCCTCTCTCTAAACATGCCACCCCTTTAAACTTAATTAAATTTAGTGGCTTTTTCCATACCATTGCTTTATTCATCGTGCACAACAACCTAGAAATCTGTCCAGGAACCCATCACCCACGGAAACATTGCCACTGGGCTCTAGGTGGCCCCCAGAGATGCAGTCCCCTCTCCCTAGGGAACACTCATGAAAACTCTAACACCCAGTGCTTTCTGTCCCAAAAACAAGCATCCAAAAGTATCTGCAACATCAGGAAAAGTAGCACAAAACAGGGAAGACCTTGAGCTCAACTCTGGTCTGAATTCTGATTAAATTCCAAAGGAAGGGGTGGTTGACAGCAAAGGCCACCTGTTTCATCGCCCTGGCTTGATAAGGAGGATGAAAGGGAGAGAAGGGGGTGGCTTCCAGAAGGAGCCCTGTGTTCCTCCAACAGGTGCTCCTGAAGGAAAACAGCTGGGAGCTCTGCCCTGGAGTCCCCTCTGGGAGGTCTAAGCCTTGGACTGGGGAGGAGGGTCCAGGAGTCACTGATGAAAGGAAAAAGCAACAGAGAAGAATGAGAACTAGGCAATGAATGGGAACTTCAGGCTCTATGTGAGCTACAATGTGATGGTTTCTGTAACAACTCTATAGAGAAAATATCACAGCCCCCATCCATCCTATCCCATTCTTCTGATGAGAAAACTGGGGTGCAGAAGAGTGTACCAAGCTCCTAAGCTTCACAGCTCACAAGTGCCCAGATCAAAGTATGAGCCCAGGTCTCTCTAATGCCAGAGCCTATTCTCTTGCTTTCAAGGCAACGTAAATATTATCAGAAGTATCTATTATTTTTGAGTCAACAATAAACACCAGCTTTGAAGAACCTCTCATTATCGTCTTTATTTTTCTCATACATATTGCATGCCAGTATGCTATTTGACATCTGCAAATTATTTCTATTCCAAAGACAAAGATGGATCCTTCCTTATTTCTTTCCTTCTCACTTTGGGATCAATCATTAGGAGCTGAATGAGAAATCACAACCCCTTTTACCTGTCAACAAGTTCAAAGGAAACACCTAGGATCTCCCTGTCTAGAGGCAGGATCGAGTCATTTGTGCCATTCGAGATGCCAAAAGTCTCCCATGGGGGCAACATTTGGAGCCAGGATCAGCCTATTTTTATTTTTATTTATTTCTTTTCTCTTTTTTCCTTTTTCTTTTTCTTTTTGGTACTGGGGATTGAACTCAGGACCTTGCGCTTTCGAGGCAGCAGAACCACTGAGCCAAATCCCCAGGCTTCAGCATACTTTTCTTGCTGGGCATTTCAATAAAATGTCTTTTGTCTTAGCTGAAGACAAAATCAGGCAAAACAATCTTCCTTTAGCAATGTGGCCTTGGATTAGGCATGAGAAAGAACTTGCTGACAATGAGTGGTGGATATGGGATCATAAAACAGGCAACCAAGGAAGGATAACCTTGCAATAAGTATCTTGGTTAGCAAGATGCTGTGCATATAGTGTAGACTTGATCGAGGCTCATTTGATTTGTTGATCCTCTCTCATCACCTCCGACAAGTGCCCTCTCTCCAGGTCCAGACAGTCCCACATTTCCCAAATTATGCCAAGTTATGAAGTTGGTAGTCTGGGGCATGCCACTTTTTTGTTGGTTGGACCAAAGCCAGTTTCCATAATATCCAATCACTCCAATGAGATAGTGTGCTGCCATTTGAAAATGCTTCCACATATAATATTTCCCATTTCATACATGAGAAAACAGACTCAGGCAGGGCAAGTGGCTTACACCAGCCTCGGTGGCTAGAAGGCAGCAAAGCCAGCACTAGAGTCCAACCTCTTCAGGCCATGGGTCAGGACACTTTCCACTTCACTATACATGGTATAACAAACACTGGTTTGTGCCTAAACCATCCCTAACTCCAAACCACTGAGGTATATTCAGAGTAGCTTTTAACTGTGCTATTGGTTGAGAGATGATCAGCAGTTAGTGCTAATCAATGTAGTTAAATTCAGTCTTCTCAGCACAATGTAGAAATAGTTCTGCACATTCATATATTGGCCTGACCTTTGTATTCTTTAGTCCACATACCCTCTACAGGAGCATCAGGGTCTCCTCCGTTATTTCTTGCACTTTGGGCCAAAGACAGAAGATGGACAAGACCAGTCCCCCAGGACCTGAGTGTGATGGATCTTCTGCCATTTAAGCTGAGTCCAGAAACCCAAAGCTGCCTCTCAGTCACCTGGCTCTCTTGGGTTATTCCTGATCGTCCCTCTTTTAGGACCATCTCTGCCACATACCCCAAGAACTTGACTCTGGACTGCTCCTCGCAGATTTGCCTCTGTTCTCTGGTTTCCCCGGCAGGTGAGTGTGGCATTCCCTGACAGACTTTGGCTTGGTCTTACTTCCGGAATAAAGGAGAAAATTATACTAGATCTTTAGGTAAGTTAGTGTTTTAAAAGTGCTTAGATCAGTGACTCGGAACACAGAATAGAATAAGCACAGTCTAAATGTTTGTCTTTGTTATTAGTGGCAGCGGCAGCAGCATCACTTACCATCTGCTTACTATAAACAATCCCAAACACAGCCCAGTTTCTGAATCCCTTGGAATATGTTCCAGGTCTATGACATAGCTCTAGTTGAGCCCTCCATGCTCACCTCCCATGGCTGTCCTCCTTGTGCCCCCAAACCCTCGGACTTCCTTTAGGTCCAGGAACATGCTAAGCTCTCTTAACTCTAGACCTTTACCCTGCTGTTTTCTGCCTTAAAATGCTCTTCACCCCCTACCGCCCCCTCATTCTCCTCCTCCCAAAACCCTCATCTTTCAAATCTCAGCTAGAATCTTACTTGCCCTAGGAGGTCTTCCTGGTGACCATTCCCTGACCCACCTGTCAAGATTAGGTTGGGTCTTCCTGTCTCATTTTCCTTTGGCACCCTTTGACAATTACTCTAAATATGCATGTAAAAATTACAGTAATTACACATGTAATTACTTCTTTAATGTTTTCCATCCTATTAGAGTAAAGCCTGTAAGCCCCATGAGAACAGGACCAATATTTGAAGAATCTCTGCTGTATCCTCAGTGCTTCCCATACTGCTTCGAATGAGTAGGAGCTCAAAGACATTTTGAATTACATTGGCAGAATCCAGATGGATTGAAAAATGGTGATGGCCTGGATGCCAATGAAAAGCTTGACCATTCAGCTTAATGTGCTGTTATTTATTTGCTATATTAGCCGTGATCTACTAAAAATCCAGAACCTAAGAATCCAATCGATAATAAAAGGATGAAGAACAGAAGAAAAATATAATAAAATCAATACATCCTTGTGGAGCGGTATCTATACCTATAGTTATTACTACCTTGAAATAAGGCATTAATTGAAGCCAGAAAGGAGAAGGAGTCACAGGTATTGGGGGTCTAATGTCAGCAGGCAATTTACTCAACCCTGACTGGCCAAGCCAGAGAGTACTGAACTCTGGCCCTGGGCACAGGATATTACCTAACATTGTCAGGGATCTCACTGGAGGAGTGTTGAGAATGCACCACCATCTTTAGTAACAGAGCCACCATCTGGCTGAGGAATTCAATTCAAACCAGCAATGCTTGTCTGAGCAGCAGTCACACAGCCCCCGCATCCATCCTGGCTCTGCCACTTACCATCTGTAAGAGCTTGGGCCAGGCTTTACTTCTCTGAACCCCAGTCCTCATCAGAAAATGGAAACAACAATGCTTATTCACATGGTTGCTGCCGGAATTCGAGATAACATGCAGCAAGCATTTACCTGGCACCTAGCTCCATATCAAGGGCAATATCCACTAGACATTTGCAGAATGGGTGAGTATTAAATGAATTAAATTACATGAAACTTTCTAGAGATGTTAATATTCTAGAGGTGAGATTAGTGGAGTCTATGGACAGAGGTCAAGAACAGCTTTCCAAGCAGAGCCTGAAAACTGAGAGAGCACGCCAGGCCTGAGCAAAGGCTAGGACTGGAGCCCCAAGCAGCTGATACTTTTGGACAGGTAGCAGCATGTACTTGGTGCAATGCCAGAGGAGGTCTATGATAAGGAGGCAGAAGAAAGCTGGATTACCAGGGCTTTGCAGATAATTTGTAGGGAATGTGGTTTAGCCCACAATGCAGCCAGATTCTTACAGCTAAGGCCATGTCAGGATAAATTCATTATAATAATAATTGAAAATGGGGCTGGGGATTTAGTTCAGTGGCACCACCCCTGCCTCACAAGCGCAAGGTCCTAAATTCAATCCTGGTACCATTAGAAAAAAAAAAAGAAAAAAGGCTGGTGGGGCTGGGGATTTAGCTCAGTGGTTCTGGCGCCTGCCTCACAAGAGCAAGGTCCCGAGTTCGATCCCTGGTACCCCCCCCCAAAAAAAAGGGATTTAACTCAGGGACACCTCGCCAGCCTTACAAGTGCAAGGTCCTAAGTTCAATCCCTGGTATGATTAAAAAAAAAAGAAATAATAATTGAAAAATGAATTAAATACTTAATATTATATACACAACTCCTACCATTTAAAGGCTCCCTGAGCATTGAGACCTTTGCACCATCTCAAGAGTTTCTTAATCTGGGAAGATGGTATCCCTTAAGGGATACTAAGGCTCATTGAGGAGAACTGAATCATTTAGATGCATCCTGTCCTATCAAAAGCTGGAGTTGCTATGAGATCCAGGTCCTATCTTGTCCTCAAGGCTTGCTGGCCAGGCCTCAAAATAAAGTCACAAGTGCTAAGAGAAAGCCTTGCAGATTCTCTCCATTCATCCTCTTTTGTGGTATTACAGCACACAGGACCTTGCTTCTAACCTGGAGGGCACAGAGATGAATAGGGTGCAGCCAATCTGTTTTCTGTAAGAATTTACATTGTTGCTAGGGGTAGCGATAGAGACATGGATGGGCCTGGGTGCCCAGCTCAGAGTGCTGCCCAAGGCAAGTGCTCGAAGATGGCCAGAGACCAGAACAAGCTGGACAGGCAAGGCTGGCTGGAGCTCAGAAAAACCAAAACAGGGAACCACACTCTTGGAGGAGGATTGCCCATGGACCCTCTTCCTCCTCTCCATTGTCATGATGCCAGAGGGATTGTCCTTGTTACTCTGTAGACTCAAGCTTCACCTTAAACCTTGCCAGGATGGCTTTCTTCTAAAGCATATATCTTAAGCTTTTCTCCATTAAGCGACATTTGACAAATTCAGAAAAATGGAAGGAAGAATAAATTCCCCATAATTTCTGCACCATTATTCACATTTTAGTGAATCTGTTTTAAGTTTCCTTTTCTCTGCATAGGTGAGTTTGTTTGGTAGTTTTTGTGAAATAATCGTGCATACGATTTTCTGTACTACTTCTCAGGAGCATATCCATGACATTTGGCCACATGTTGTATCCAAGGCCACTTGCTGTTCCTTTGGCGCACTGTGGACTATGTGATGTCCTACAGTGGCACAGGCCTGTGAGTCAGGCAGAATCAAGTGCTGTCCAAATCCCTTTCTGATACTTAGCTGTGTAGCTTTGGGCAAGTTACTTAATCTATCTGAGTCTCAATTTTGTGATTTGTAAAATGAAAATAATTATAATAACTTTGCATGCTTTTTCCAGAATTAGAACTAAAATTGTAAAGGAACTAAACAAAGCAAGTTAGATTCTTGAAAGTGAATGAGGTCAGTCTTTAATTGGAAAAGCCCAGAGGCCAGGATCTAAATCTAAGCAGTTATCCCTCCCACCTACCTTAGGGTTTTTTCTGGTTTTCTGGTGATGAGATAATAAACTTGGAAACACAAAATACTGATGCTCTTCCCAGATTTGCCAAGCAACTCATTTCAAGCCTCTTTGTGCCTCAGTTTCCCTCATTATGCACTGGGGACAATAACTTCTGTTGCCTCCTTCACACCAGGGATAGGCAGTCAACAGCCAGAGAAAAGGAAATCGTGGATGGAAAGGAATGCCTATCTGGGAAGGCCCTCGAAATCATTTCTGCATCTCCCCCAAGCCAAGCCCAGTCAATATGGGGTGGATAAGAGAGCTCAGCCCACCAACTCCAAGGAAGGACACTCTAGAGGCACCTGTCATGGTGTTTCCTGTCCCAAGTCCATTTCCTCAGTTTTCAAGTACAGTCTTTTAAAAGAAATTAGGGCCAGGGATTTAGTTCAGTGGTTTTGCCACTTGCTGCACAAGCTCAAGGACCCGAGTTCGATCCCTGGTACCAAAAAAAATTAAAAGAAATTAGCCCCTAAAGAGGTTCTCTCTCTCTCTCTCTCTCTCTCTCTCTCTCTCTCTCTCTCTCTCTCTCTCT